ACCTCAGGTTCTAACAGAGCCAGCTTGTTATTTCTTTGGCAATATAATGTTTCCAAACCCCAGGAAGCCTCCTGTCCACTCCCACCGTCCACATAAGCGTAACAGAAGTATCCAGCTCTGCTGGTGCTCGATAAGGCCAGTGACTCGGGAGACAGTGGCAGGAGAAGAGCTTTACTCAGTGGAGAGTGGGGAGGGGGCTTTGCTCACAAACCACCTCTCAGCTCCAGGGAATTGAAGAGATGGGACAGGAGAATGGGGGAGGGAGACAGGCTCCCAGAGGGAGCAGTGGTCAAGTCTGTCCTGGGAATAGGCAGAGAGCTCCCTGGAACTCAGGGGCCACCTCTTGTGGCTTCTTTTATGGTCTGGTGTTTCAGATCATGGCGGCTGGTGGTGCCTTTATCCTCAAAGTTCAGGCTGCGAAGCAGAGAGACCCAAGATGAAGACGGATGCTGAGCTTCTGCCTCTGGTTCTGGTCACCCCACGGGTCACCTGCAGGCCCAAGTGAAGAGCCAGTGTTCTGAGTGAAAGAGCCTCGGGTCCCTGAAGAGTAACCCAGGCCGTTATTGGCATGGTCCTCGCGGCAGAGGCGCCAGAGGTGGTGGGAGACAATGTGTCACCCCGCTGTGTGACCTCCAGAATCAGTGATTTTTAAGTCAGCGAAAAGCAAGTGAAGCTAGAGGTCTATGTAGGCCTTTCCTCAGGGACGTGGTCACAGCCCAGGTCTCCCGCAGTCTTCTGGTCTCTGCTGTTGTTGCCCTCCTCTCTCCACCAGGGGTGTCCACATGGGAAGGGGAAGGTCCTCATCTAATCCAGCAGGTACCCCCAGCTGGGGGAGCCCGAGGGAGCTGCTCAAGGAAGCTCTGACTCAGCCCGTCTCCCCTGAGGTGGCTGCTCCTGGTGCTGTTCCAAACTGCTTTAATTTGGGGTGCAGAACCCCCTGCATTCTCAACCCTTTGAGGCCCTAAGTGACTGTACAGATAGCCTCTCAGACCTGTCACAGAGATGGCTGAATGACATCCTTCAACTGCAGCATCTTTGGCTTCTCCATGTCAGTTAGGTGGAGGCCATGCCCACCCCTCAGAGGGACCAGATTCAGGACTGAGCGGACCGAGCACATCACTTTGCTTCCCCCACGATGAGCGGGGCAGAAGACCCGGACGCCGTCCTGCGACAAGCGTCCAGCAATGTTCTCCACTCCTCCAGCCCACACCTGTGTCCAGGCCTTTGCAACTGGAGCCACTGCCAGCCTGGGCCTCATTCTTGGAGAAGACCTGCCCTCCAGCCCTCCTTGCCCCTTGCTGGTTAGTCTGTAATGGGAAAGCCACCCATTTCCCCACATCCTGCGTGCCATCCAGGAGCTGGGTCAGGGCTCCATGCCCTCCCCTGCTCCACTCTTGCCCACATGGATTCTTCTGGGTGTTTGCTAACCATCTTCCAGCCTCCCTGCCACGCCCACCTTCATTCCCATCATTCCCTGCAGCTGGCTGCTGGCTGTCCCTGCCGCTGCCCCAGTAAGTTCCACCTTCACACGACCACTAGCCCACACCTGGGCCTCCTCACCTCCAAGGAGCTGCTCCACCCCCCTACCACTCACTCCCAGGGAAACCTGCTGCACCTCCACAATCACTAGACAGCTTCATCCCTCCAGGGGACATTTCCACTATAATCACCGACACACACACACAAAAAGCCCTGACCCTCCCATTCACATCAGCTTCCTCCATCTTTTGTTCCTGCTCATCATTTCCCCACTGATCTGTTTGGAGTACATAGCCCATCACTGCAGTAATGCCCCCCCCCCCCCCAACTTGTAACTTTTTGTATTAGCTTTTCATTGCTGTGCAAAATGCTTGAGAAAATCAACTTAGAGGAGGGAAGGTTTATTTTGGCTCACAATTTCAGAGGTTCCAGTCCATTGTCAGCTGGCCCCATTGTTTCTGGACTGTGGTGAGGCAGAACATCATGGTGGAAGGCACGGCAGAGGAAAGCTGCTCACCTCATGGTGGCCCCGGAGGGAGGGAGAGCAAAGGGTCTGAATATGATATAGTTCCCAGGGGCACATCCCCAAGGATCTACTCCCTTCAACCAGGTCTCACCTCCTCCAGTTTCCACCACCTTCCAACTGACCAATGAGGTCAAAGCCCTCATATCCCATCACTTCGCAAGAGCCCCACCTCTGAATATTGCCACTTGGGGACCAAGCCTTCAACACATGAGCTTTTGGGGGACATTCCAGTACCCAAACATACCATTTCAATTCCCCCTTTTCCTTCTTCACTCCTCTCTGGTGAAAATGCAGCCCTAAAGAACCCAGTTGTCGTCACCTGTGTAGGCACCAGGCAGCAGAGTGCTGCTGTGACCATCAACTGGGCTGCAGGGCAGCCAGGGCTTGCAGAAGGGTAGCTTCAGCTGTGAGAGTTGGTAAAGAACGTTTTTGAAAAAGCAAAGATGAGTTTGGGAATAACAGCCTGGCGTATCTTGTGAACCAAGAATTAGAGTTTGAAGAGGAGGAAGGGGAACTAATCAGTATATTGAGGATCTAGGTAGAGTGACATTTTGGACAGCAACTGAAGCAAGCTCTGGATGGTTTTAGTGGATTTACCTGGCCACAATGCTAAACAGGATCGCAAACCCCACTTACATCTGAAAGATAGTAGACGCCTAAGGTGCTCCATGTTTACCTGCTGCCTGGATGGGAGATGGTGGACAGAGCCAGGTATTTGACTTTGGGCATCCTGTCCCCCTGGAGTCATTAAAGGGCAGAAAAAGTGAATGAGTGACACAGGAGGTATTTATTGGACAATGCTCCCAGGCAGGCAAGAGATGAGATCACAGTGGAGGATACAGGTTTCAGGAGGAAGCTTGGCTTTTGAGCAAGGCCAGGAAAGGAGGAAAATATCTTTTTCAGTAACCTTAGTCTAGGTTAAGTTTTTTAACAATCCCCAAATCTCGGAGGGTTAAAACCACTTGTTTTTCTTTATTTTGCTACAACTTTGCCCTAGATTGTCAGGAAGCTATGCTCACCAAAGGCACACAGGCTGACAGCCAACCACCATCTCAAGTGTTGCTAGTCCCCAAGGCGTAGGAGAGAGAGGGCTCTGGAGGCCATCATGTTGGCTTGGATATGACAGGTGTCACCTGCCAATTAGTCACATGGGCCCACGCAAACACAAGGTGGTCAAGATGTGCAATCATACTGTGTGCCCAGAATGTCGACAACCGGAACTTATTTGAACAGCACTAATGATCCCTGCAGCACTTCATCCCCAAATAGCTTCAGTGCTAGAAGTCACTCAGAATGCCAGGGCTGCAAAGAACGTGGGACAAGCCATGTCAGCCTAAGCCTAAGATCACTGAGGGCATGTGGAGGATGAAGGGAGGCCAGGTCTCCCCATGCCCTCTGGCACTGCCCTGAGCCTTTATCTTCAGCGGATCTGCAGCTCTTCAGTGTTCTCCCTTCCTCTGGGTTAGACATCTGTCAGTGTTTTGTCCCCAAGAGTTGTGCCATGGCTGTTGTGGGTTCTGGCATGATGCCTGGCAGAATTAAATCTGCTTTGTTCCAAAGGGCCTTGGCAGTTCTTCAAGGCCTCCTTGGCTTGATGCTGCCCAAGTGTTGAAGCTGCAGGCTTCAATCATTCTCCATACTTGCCCGTTTCTCCTCAGGGTTTGTTCCACACCTGTCTTCCAGATGCCTTTCCCACTCTCCCATGTTAGGTTAGGAGACACCCTGCGCTCCCACAGCCCTCATGACTTCTCTTAAGAGTGAGAGGGAAAAAAGACTCTCACAGATCACATAGTATACGCCACAAAATTTAAAAAAATATGGGAGGGTGTGTACAGACACACACACACATGCACAAATGTGGACTATTCATCAGGTTACTGGTAGAAGGTTGTTTCTTAGGTGAACTGAGATGCAAGGGAGAGAGGAAGGATCGCTCTTTTATCCTGAATATTGTCTCATTAAGTATTATCCGTTTAAAAAAACCAACTACCCAGTGCAATGTAGTGCCCTAAGTGAAAACGGGCATTAGTAAAAAACTGGTAAAATAAGAATAAAGTCTAGTAGCATTAGATCAATGTCCAATTTCTTAGTTATGACCAAATACAGCTTAGGTAGTTGTCTCCTGATTGGTGATTCCACAAGGCCCAGTTTTCCCCACTAGAGAAACACGTAGGGGGAAAAAAAAACCCCTCTGAATCTCTGGCATTTTCCCCCTCCTTCCTGACCTTGGAAGCCAAGTTCGCCAATTACCTCTGGACAGGTTTCCTAGGCACTCCCTCAATGCTCTCCTTAGATATGGTATTAGAGCTGTTGATACATGACTTTCTTGCTTTAGATTTGCCTACCAACTAGGTCCCCCCCAGGAAGTAGACTTCTTGCTGCTAGTTTCCTAGATGAAAAGACAGGTAAGTTCTTTAGGAACCAATACCTGAGAAAGGTAAGGAATGTAACACTGGGCCGTGATATGGTCCTAACCAAAGCTTCAGTACATCCCACAGGAGTTCCGAAGCAGAGATGATTTATATTGCCACAAACTGGGAGTAGAAGAGGACCCTCTCTGGATGTGGACCACCCAGGAGCAGGGGTACAGCTAGCTAAAGCAGCTAGGGGAGTAAGTCCTTCACTTCCCAAGGGGGTGTGGCTCATCATCACATTGTACATTGATTCCCCCCCCCCACACTGTAATTTTATTTTATCATTATATTCTCAGTGCAAAGACTAGAAAAGAATGTTATGATTTGAAAGACTAAAGTCATTTGGTTTCTTAGAAGGCAGGGCCTGGACTACAGGATTACATGAGGTTCTTTCCTACACCAAGAGCTACCCATGTTTTTTCCCTTTATCCTGCTCCTTAAAGAGCACAGAGTTGAAGCTTCCTTTCACAACAGCTTAAGACCACAGGATGTCACCCCCACTCAGGAACAAGGACAGTAAAGGAAAAAAACTTAAATTTTAAAGAACGAAAATTTCTTAATAACTTTCTAGATATTCTGTCTTTTCAAGCAAACGAATACTTTTATTAACATGGTAAGTTTGTTTACTTTTTTAAACATGGTAGGGTTTTGACCTCAAATACTTAGCAGGCCTGCTATTCAAATAAACTTATAGCTGGACAACATACGAACCTTGAAGATGCCTCTTCCCTGTCCAGTTTAAGAGTTCAATGCAGACAGTTCCAGGCTTCCCTTCCCAGCCCCTGAAGGGTCTTTGCAAATATCTTTCATTTTATGTCCAGTATCCCCTAAAATACATACGGGTGTCATATCAACCCATATAGAACACCAAGATCTCACCTCCTACTCTAGGTTCCATGGCAAATAGAGCTGAGTTAGGTTGTCCAAACAAACCCACGAGACAGGTTACATCCGATAGTGTACCACATAAAATTTAAATTTTGAACAAAATACATCTCTCCGCCTTTGGTCTCACACAGAAATTAAAGTCCCCCAATACGAACAATACCATCCTCCACCCGTTCTCCAGACTCATCAGTCCTAGCCAGGTCAGGCCCATCCGCATTCCCAGTCCAAGTCTGGCCCCTTCCTCAGCAGCTGCTGCATGGAGTGGTCTTCGGAGTCCACGCAGCTCCTTGGGCACCTCCAGAGCTGGAGAACACTGAGTATGTGTTGCACAGACCCAAAGTTCCAGGGAGCTGTCAGGTCACACTAGAAAGAGCAAAGCACCTCAAAATTCAGAAATAACAACCAAACCCAGGAACAAATGTGACTGCCGCAAGAGCTCACAATCTAGGCCCTAATTCCTGTATGTGAGAGCTTTTTCCAAACAAAAGTTACTTCCCCAAACAAAAACATTTAACAATCAAAACTCATATTGAGGTCATCAACCCCCGACCACAGCAGAAACGTAGTGTAGGTGAGGACAGAGTGTAGACAGAGAAAAAGGGAAAACAAGAGGCTCTCTGGTTTCAGCTTCTCCAGGGTGTCACCAATCTCCATCACTGGACCAGGACCCGCTGCGGAAACCTAGGGCACAAACGGGAGACACGCATCAGAGAGGTCAACGCGGAGGGGACGCAGAGCCCACCACGCAGGTCGCCTCTCTCGGGAAGCCGCCTGACTCATCCCGGCCTTCCAGCTAAATCTGGGACCGTCCAGCGGCTGCCGAGGGCCACCGTCTCCACGCCCCGCGGCTGCACGCCTTCCGGTGCCGCAGGTCCTTTATTTCGCAGTCGCTCCCGCGGGTGCGACCTGGGCGGACACCGAGCCGGCCTCCCGCGCAGCAGCGCCCCTCCGTCCCCGGCCGCGCGGCCCCCGCGCCCACGTGGCCGCGCCCGCTCACCGCCGTCACGCCGACTCGCCCTTCTCTATCCGCCGCACCAGCGCCACCAGCATCTCTGCCATCTTGGCCAGCTCCTTGGCCTTCTCCTCCGCCTTCTCGCAGCGCGGGGCCGCCCGGGGCGCCGCGCCGCCGTCGGCGCCCTGCAGGTGGTTCAGCGCGCTCTCCTCCGAGGCCTCCACCTGCGTCTTGATCTGGATGAGCATATTGTCCATCTCCCACAGCTTGCCGCGGTTGCGCGCGTGCGCCCGGCCGCGCTCGCGGGTCAGCGCCGCGATGTCCTCGCGCATCTCGTTGATGACCGGCAGCAGGAACTGCTCGAAGTCCTCCTCGGGCTCCAGCACCTCCACCTCCTCGGGCTCGGCCAGCTCCACCACGTCCAGGGGCCGCATCTCGCGCTCGGGCCGCGCTGCCGACGTCTGCGGGGGCAAGGTGGACGCTCGCGGCGCTCAGCCACGCAGCCGCAGGGCGGTCTGTGTAACTTTCGCCCTTTTAAAACTTTTCCCCTCAGAGCAGCCACGGAAACGGCGACTGGAGAGCGAGAGGCGACGAACAAAATGGAGTCCTGGCCGTCAACCAGCGCTCTGCGCGTTGCGGCCCCTTTCACGACTCGGCCACGCCTCGCTTTACGGTCACGCTGTAAAGCGCGGCCGCGCGCTAGTCTACGCGCGCGCGCACGAGACCCCTGTCCCGCGTGCGTCACCCCGAGCTCCGCCCCGTTTTGCCCAGGTTTGTGGGCGTGGGCTTCTGTCGCGTCCGCCGACCGTGGCGGTTCCCTGGCACGGAAGTTTACGTGGAAAAGGAGGTTTTCCCGCGCTGGATGCGGAGAAGGCGGGGGCCCAATGCCGACGAAGACTGTAGCACCTCCCGCGACGCTCGGAGCCCTTCGTCTTGGACTCGACCATTGAAGCGCGCCTCCGTCTCCGCGCGTCGGGGGTCTTTTCTCCACGCAGACCCCGCACCCCGGGGCCCGCGCACCCCCGCGCCAACTGGCCAGCGGCGCCAGTCTCCAGCTCAGGGCGCCGCGGCCTTCGCTCAACACAGAACGACGTGCAAACTGTGACTTAACTGGTGTTTTGACCCAAGTCCCCCCCCCCCCCCAAGGGATCTCCAGTTGACAGATAAAAAGTCACAGTTGGGGACTAAGATAAAAATCATGAAAGTACTTTGTAGACACCAAGCATACACATGTGTAAAGTGCATCTCTTTTATTTAGGCCTTTGTCAGATTTGGTTTTGTTTTTGTTTTGAGCGGGGGTGGGGTCCTGGGCTTTGAATCCAAGAGTGCAAAGATGCTTTATCACTGAGCTACATCCCAGCTTTTTATTTTTATTTATTTTTGCAGTTCGAGACAGGGTCTTGCTGAGGGCTTGAGTTGCTGAGGCTGGTGGGGAACTTGCTATCCTCCTGCCTCAGCCTCCGAGTCACTGGGATTACAGGCGGTTGCCACCGTGCCTGGCCTCGATTCTTTATATTTTGGTTGCTCCTCTTGTAAAATTCCAGGTTTTGGGGCTTTCTTGATATATCAGAAGCACCTATCTCAAATTTTTCTTAAGTAAGAATTAATGGCCCAGATGACAATGAGATTCCATTACACACTTATTAGCATAGTTAAGATGCAGAATATTAACAATACCCAATGCTGGTGAGGATGTGGCTCAACAGAAACTCTTGTTCCTTGCTGGTAGGAGTGCAAAATGGCACAACCACCCTGAAAGACAGTATGGTAGTTTATTATTATCATTTTGTAGTGCTGGGAATTGAACCCAGAGACTGATGCAAGTTTGGAAAGTGCTCTTGGCAATGTGCTCATTGAGCTACATCCCCAGTCCTGGTAGTTAATTTTTAAAACTAAAGAAACTCTTAACTATGTGATTCTGCAATCACACTCTGATATTTATTCAACTGGGTTCAACCTGTTTGTTCTCACAAAAACTTGTGCATAGATGTTTATGTCAGCTTTATTCCTACTGCCCAAACTCAGTAGCAAGTGGCCTTCAACAGGTGAATGGATAAACTATATCCCAGATAAATGGAATATAATTCAGTCCTAAAAGAAAACAGGCTATCAAGCCGTGAATGACATTGAGGAAACCTTGCGTGCATCTTACTAAGTAAAAGCCAATCTCTACAGCTACTACATGATTCTGATACTTCCGGTTTTCTGTGATGAGTCCTGCTTCCCCACATGTTGAAGTTTGAACATTAGAGAAGCGCGCTGGGGCAAACTTTCGAAGCAGGGTTTATTTAAAACGGGGGAACATAGGGTTGGGGCTGGGGCTCAGCGGTAGAGCACTGGTTTAGCACGGTGAGGCCCTGGGTTTGATCCTCAGCACCACATAAAAATAAATAAAGGTATTGTGTCCAACTACTCTTAAAAAATAAATGTTTAAAAAGGGGGGGGGCTAACATAGACCTAAACCGTGAGGGAGAAGGGGGCCATAGCTGGGATCCTGGTATCCCAAGAAGCAAGGTGTTCTGCCCTTTTTATGAGTCCTAGGCTTCCTTTGTTCTCCTGCCTTTCTCCCACTTATCTTTCTTTTTCCTGCTTACGTGACAAGGCCCAGGAAATGCTCGGTGGGAGGGCCAGAAAGTGGAAAACAGGTGGGCCAAGGGGGAAGGGCAGGGTGGAGTAGAGAGGGACCCTTTAACAATCTGATAACTCCCTGGAGGGAGGGGATTCCTGGGACAGGTTACCTTGGCAACAGGTTGGAGCAAGGGCAGGTTCTTGTTAAGATCCTTCAGGGGACAGTCTCCAACTTCCCAGACTCACTCAAAATTGGCCTCCTTGACCCGACCTGACTCGAAATTACCTGTCTATACTGACTGCCTGCCCAATTCTGGCTTCACTTCCAGCTACTATGGAGATAGCAAAAAGCTCAGTGGCTGCTTGAGGAGAAAGGGGTAGGCAGGCAGAGCTTGGCGGACGTTCAGGGCAGTGAAACTGCTCTGTGTGAGACTATCCTGGTGGATACGCGCCTGAACCCTCAGAATGTATGCCACCCAAAATGGACTCTACAGTAAAGGCAGGACCGGGTGACGACGGTGTGCCAGCATGGTTTCACTGATTGCACACATGCTGTGCTCTGCTTCCGGGAGCAGTGGTGGTATGGGAACTGCGCTTGCTGCCCAGTTTTGCTGCAAACCTAAAACTATTCTAAAATAGAAGGTTGATTTAGAGGGAGTGAGGGGCAGATGACTCACACCCTGCCAAAGAACTGGAAAACACTGCCTCTTCTCCAGGATGAGGTGAGGTGGGTCCCCTCCACCACGTACTTTCATGCCGGGCATAAAATGCCAGGTGTCCAGTGTTCAGTAGGGGCCAGGTCTCCAGCATTTCTGTATTTTCTCTGTTAACTGAGTTAGGACACCTAGCGCCCATATTTCTCCTGTTATTTACAGACAAACAACTCAGCAGGGTGGCTATGTGCCTAGGAGCACTCTGTGGGTTTTTCCAAGGACAAGGGTCACGCCCTGTCCCTTTGGACAGGCCTTGAGATAGAAGCTGGGTTTTCAAAAATGGAGTCATCAGTTTCTCAGTAGATGGACACAATATCTTTATTTTTATTTATTTATTTTTATGTGGTGCTGAGGATCGAACCCAGTGCCTCAGGCATGCAAGGCAAGTACTCTGCCTTGAGCTACAACCCCAGCCCCTCATTATTCTTTATTTATAAGTACACGTATTCCCACTGTAATTTTTACTCGACAAATTATTAGATTTTGAAAAAATGTTATTCAAGCCAGGTGTGGTAGTGCACACCTGTAATCCCAGTGGCTTGAGAGGCTGAGGCAGGAGGATTCCAAATTCAAAGCCAGCCTCAGCAAGTGAGTTGCTAAGCAACTCAGAGAGACCCTGTCTCTAAATAAAACACAAAATAGGGCTGCGGATGTGGTTCAGTGGCTGGTGCCCTGAGTTCAATGTCCGGTACCCCCCCCCCTCCAAAAACAATGTTTTTCAAACATCCGAGAGCCATTTATGCTCTTCCGATTTCTAACTTAATTGCATTCTGTTTAGAAATGGAGTTTTGTTTTATGCTGTCTAAAATTTGTTAATATTTGTCTAATGACCTGGGCAATTTTAGCGTGCACTTTGCATATGTGCCTGAGAAGATTGAGCATTCTCCAACATTTTTTTTTTTTTCTGGTGCTGAGGATAAAACCCTGGGTCTTGTGCATGCTGGCCTCTACCACTAGTTTACCCCTCTAGGCCCATGGAAATGAAATGGATCCATTAGACCTCCCTTAGAGGACACACCAGGAGCCACATGGATTAGGAGATCTGAGAATAAAGAGAAGGTTCTGTGCCAGTCATAGGCAGAGGACATTTTCCTGTTGCGACCTCTTTGTGCATGTGCTATTCTTCACTGCTATACACATGATCGACAGTGCTAGGTACTTCTTTGAATCATCCAGTGTTTCTAGCTGTTCTGAATTGCCTGGAACCTCTTAAAAGTAGAGATAGTAACAATACATTTTGTAAATCTCTTGTTAAAATTCACTGGAAATGTTTTGGGGAGAATAGCCTAGCTCCCTTGTTTGTGTGTGGGTCTGGGGAGAAGGCTGCTCCTAAAACCACTTGTGCACGAAGGGGAAGTTGTTACCACCCCGTATGCATCACAGAAGTAAGCACTTGGCCACTGGCTGATAGGGGAGGGAAGGGGAGGGCTCTAGGTGGGAATGCTCCTGCACAGAGGCCACTTTCTAATTACCGCCTTCTTGGTCTGCAGTTCATTATTCTGGGCCTCTGTGCACAGCAGGACGCCTCAGTCCTGACTGGAAGCTTGCAGTCTTTCTAGATGTTGAGAAGGGCAGTGTTGGGAGTGGGCTGCAGCAAGCTCCTTGGCAGGCTTTCTGCAGTTTCACGGGAGTGTTGCACTGGGAATTGTGAACTTTGATGCGTTGGAGACTGTGTGGGGCCTGGGTAGTGGTGGGTGGAGCAGGAGGCAGGATGCAGAGGCTCTGCCCCAGGTACGTTAGTTTAGCTGTCCAGCCATTTTAGTCAATGTATTAAGGATAAACAAGCCACATTGCCCCCAGTATACTTAAGGTGGAGGTGGTGACATAATCCCTGTGTAACCGTCCTTTTGTTAGTTGTTAGGAAGTACTGTCTCCTGGGAGTAGCTTTGGGAGCTAGACTAGTGCCATGCTCCGTGGCTGGAAAGGTCAAGGGGGAGCAGAGCAAGGTGGGCGGGGGGCTCCTTGCTAGGACTTCTGCAGCTCTCAGCTGGTTTAGATTGTACCCTTGACATCAGGTACATGTGTTTATTGTGGAGCGAGGTGGGTCTTTATTTTGAGGCATCTAGGCTTTGTAGATGTCCTGCACTGACACCTGTGGGGAAAAGTGAGCTGATTTAAATATCTCTGTCATAGTTGAGAGAAAAGACGCATCTCGAAGTGGAGTTGTTTCGCCATCTGTCGCGTTCCTCGCTACTAAAATACTCAGAGTCACTCCAGGGGAAGTGGGCTGCACGAAATAACCACACAAGAGACAGAGATGCCTTTTTCTTTGGGTCCTGTGACGGCTCCTCTAACCTTAAGGGTCCGCTGAGAGAGCGAGAGAGTACAAGCACATGCTG